GACAACAACGACGACGACGACGACGATGGCGGCGGCGGCGACGACGACGACGACGACGGCGACGAGGACGATGATGACGACGACGACGACGACGACGAGGGCGACGACGACGACGACGTCCGTCCTCCACCACGCCACGCCCACAGGGCCATGACAACAGGGAAGGGGGAGCGATCCCATTTGCGCGACTCTGCGACCTTGGTCTCGGCAAGCTCTCGGCGAAAGCTGCGGAACGTCCACCCCCAACCATGGCAAGCCGACAAAACCACGACCACAGGGTGGGGGGGGGGGGCGATCGCAGTCGCGAGGCCTTCGCGAGGCTCACGGGCGTACCCATCAAAATGAATGGGGCTCGATCCAATATGTACTGGGGGGGCAACCCTGGATTATAGGCAACCCTCAGTGAATATATCGATGCGCATTCGCTCGGCAATTCGGCAAAACATTCGCTACATTAACGTGGAGGCGCGGCAAACCGCCTCGAAATCGATCGAAGGTATGCGGTGGAGCTTCCCCCCAGTCTCCGCCTATCACTCTCATCCGTTCGCTGTACATCTGCCTGGCCTCCCCATGTCACTAGCACTGACAATCTGCCCCTTCCTGCGAATCAGGTCTGTCCGTCCGTCTGTCCGCCTGCCTGCCTCACTGTCGCTGTCTCCGTCTCTCTCTCTCTCTCGCTCTCTCTCTCTCTCTCTCTCTCTTTCTCCCTCTTTCTCCCCCTCTCGTTGTATGCCCGTCCCTCTCCTTCAGGCTACGCCCTGGCCCCTGCCCCTCTCCGCTTCCGCGCGCCCACCCGCCCGCCTACATTCAGGTCGGGCACGTCTTCCTACAGGCGGATTTTGAAGGAAAAACGAAAAATAGGCAACACATGCTTAAACAGAGCCAGAAAGAGTAGAAAACTCGTCCAATGCCATTGAGGTTTTCACTATTCATGGGGCCATGCATGCTCCCGGCGTGGAGCCGCCTGCCAGCCTTCGGCATGTCCAATTGTGCCGCCAGGCCTGGACAAATCACTGCTGCACGGTCGATGAGCTGAGCATTTCGTGGGAAGTCCGCTTTGCAGAGCTTCGGTTTGTCCTTCCGGCGACATGCAGGGAGTGGCATCCTCTCCCCTGTCTCCGCGCTATTCAAATACACGTGGTTATGTTTCCTCTCTTGCAGATACTGTACGTTTTCGTCGAGGCAAGCGTTTTCCCACGCGCGTGCCTCCTCCGCAGCCTCAGCAAGCTCCGCGTGCTCCTCCACTCCGCGCGTATGATACTTCGGTCGGCAAACCAGCCCGCATTCGTTTTGAGATTCAGGCCATGACGTCTCAGCGCCCGCAAGATTCTTCACTGCGCCATCTTCGCCGAAGCTCGCGGCGCACTCTTGGCGACAGACCCGTTTCTCATATCGTAACAGCTCTTCCTCAATCTTGCATATTTCACCATCTGTCTTTTCCCGTATGATCTCGAAGACTCGATCGAGCGGAGTGCGCTGGCGAAGACACTTTTTGCGCTTCGTTGGTTCTATAGCGCGCGTCAACCCTCTCGAACACCCCGCCCTCCGGCGAAGAGCTGCTGTCGAACCAGTCTTGGCATGGCGGTAATCCCTCCTTGTGGTTGCAGCGTGGACCATTCGGGCACGTCCGCACTCCAAATCAATGGCGCATCGTCGCGTCCACGATCGCCCGGAACCCGTCCACGCTGGCCATCGAATCACGAGCGAGAGTCTTCTGCGCTCCGCCCATGATGGCACCTCAGCATGAATCGCCTCCAACGAGATTTTCAGACGCACATCTTCGGTCTCCGGGGCAACCCTTGACCACGACCGACTACCAGCTTCCCGCGACGCGTCAGCATCCTTCGCCGCATTGTGCACCGGGTCACGTATTCGCGTTCGTGAGAGTCCCACCATGAGCAAGCTTGCGCGCTGCTTTGCTGAGACCTGGTACGTGCCGCACCTTCGTCATGCCACCCATTACCTTCTTCTTTCTTGCTGTTTGCATCCACGTACTTGCCACGCAACGCGCGATAGCGTTCTTTTGCCCCTTCCCCGATTTCTTCGGGCGTCATCTGCGCTTCAACGTCTTTCGGATTCGCTGACACGCGCGTGAACCAAGTCTTGTTCAGTTGCATCGCTGACCGAAACACCACATTCCACGAGGCGAAGCCGAAATACCAGCCGCTTGAAAGTTGACTCTCTACGCGGCGACTCATGATACGAATCCACGGTGGAAGATCCACGCGTGGAGTTTCTGCGCGACGCCGTTCTAGTGGGCGCTGCCAACAATCTGGCATGTCGGGCATTCCCGTGCAGTACTTGAAGATAGATGAAAAGGCCACCCCGAAATACAACGGCTCGAATTGATCCATCATGGTGCCCCCCATGCATATCCGCAAGCGGTCTACATGCTTAGTTACCTTCCAACAGAGCGGTCTTGACCATCTGCACCTCCTCGCGTGTCCTTTCTGGTTGATCTGCTGCCTCAGGATTTGCCTCGCCTACTCGTGCGCGCTTCTCCGAATGGTCTTCACTTTCGCCGCTCGCTTCACTGTCATCAGAACTGTCCTCTGCTCCGCCCTGCGCGCAATCTGGCGCGAGTCTCTGGACAAAGCTTCAATCTGCCTCCACTCGCCGAGAGTTCACATCTCCCTCCCCTCATCGAAACTAGTTTTCTCGAGGACCACTGCGTTTTCCATTTGTAATTTCCAGGATTTCGGCCGCTTCCCGCAGCCTGTTTGGTCGCGGCACTGGAGTCGTCGCTTTCTGCATGTGGACCTTGCTCAGATCGTCATCCAACGGGACTAAGCGCAGGACCTCCGGCGGCAAATCGTTCTCAGGGAGCTCCTTCGCTCTCTCGCGCACCGCGTCCATCCAAACGCGTCGGCGCGCTCGGTGGCCGCGCCTTTCCACCCCCCCGATAAACTTTGCGACGGCATCCCGTCGGACCAACGCTTGCTGAATGAACTTCGCCATGCTTGCGGCCGTGTCGCCGTCGCCTTCTGACTTCAAAATCACTGATGCGATCCCGGCCAGTTCAGAACCAGTCCTTGGCACCGGCGGCGGAGCTTCCTTGGGCGCTTCCTCCTCGGCCGCACGGAACTGCGCCAGCATGTCCGAGGCATCCGGAAAGACGTCGCGCTCCCACGCGCCGCCATGCGGTGTGCGTTGTTCCCCGCATCCAAATCGCAGGTCCTCTCGTTCCGGGACCGCTTCTCCAGCGTGAAACACCATCGAAGTCACACGCACACGCACGGATGCGCAGATCATTTCGAGGATCGTCACCTTCCCTGCGAAGAGCTCCTCGGGCGAATAGAACGTCACCATGCCGTTCGCAAGCGCCGCGAGCGGAACGAGTGCTTCTCCCCTCGGTCCCGCCATCCCACTCCGGCATGCCCCGCAAAGAGACGCCTCGCATCGATCGCACATTGCGTTCCCTTCGTGCCACGCCTCCGAGCAGCAGCGCACATCTTCGGGGCAGCGCAACACTCTCCCCCCCCAGCCGTACTGTTCCACATTGCTGTTTCGCCTGGTCCTCTTTTTCGTATCTCTGTTACAATCTCTCTCTCTCTCTCTTGTGCCTGTTGGCCTTCTACGTGGACAACCCTGGCTTATAATAGCCATGTCTGGCAGCCTGCCGTCACCCATGCTCAGGATACCACCCGTGCTATCTGAGAACTGCACTCGGTGTGCCACTCGGCAGCGTCTACATGCTTACCTTGGTCCTGCTGGGGGACGCCTTCATTTGCCGCGGACGCAGTCGTCCGCACCATGTACGCCACCCCATCGGACAGCAATGAGCTCCTGTTTCTTTGTGTCGTCTCGGCACGCGTGGTGGTGTGGCCCTGGACTCTCCGCGGCATCGCGCTCCGCGTTTGCCACTTCTGCCACCCGCGCACCACGCCTCTGCGACCCTCAACGATGGGCCTGTTTTCCACCACCACCACCACCATAAGTTGGAGGGGGTCCTCCTCCTCCTCCTCCTCCTCCTCCTCCTCCACCTCCTCTCGAGTAACATCTGGCCCAAGCTGGCACCAATTGTTTTGGTTCAAGCCAGAGCTCGCGAATCGGTACCGCTGCAGGTATTATTCGTATTGTCGCGCGTGGCACACTGTAGCCCCGACTTGAGGGGCAACCGTGGGTGGTTGGCGATCTTTCGTGAGTGCTTTTCTTTCCACATCAAGGCTACGGGACCAAGGTTGCTTGGACGTGGGAGCAGCTCTCAATTGTGCTTGGGGGCAAGGCTTTCGCGTTTCGTCCACAATCGTAGCGCTTGTTTGATGCAGTTCTACTTTGCTTTTGTAGCGGTGCTCTCAGTGTGGTGCCCGTTTACGTTGGCTGGTGGGAGTGATTTTCAAGCAAGCTTGTATTCTATTTCCAGATTGGCTAGCCTGGCCCAGGCCCATGGGGCAAGCAAGGCAGAATTTGTGGTCGCTTTGTTAAAGCTCGTCCTCACGGTTTTTGCTTCGGTGCTCCCAGGGTGGTGCTCGAGTGCTCAGGCTGGTGGACTGGTATTTCAACTGAAAGCGCCCTGCAGGGCATGCACTCCGTTCAGAGTTCCAGGGCTTCGGCATCGAGGCGGTCCTGCAGACCGTGGCGGTCGTCCTCTTCCTCTGAGTGGGGGGGTTAGTGTCGGTCCTGAAGGGCCGCGGCGTGTCGTGTCGCCACGGCCGCGCCCCCTCGGCGGGCCGATCCTCCTCCACCTCCTCCTCCTCCTCCTCCTCCTCCTCCCCCTCTTCGTCCTCCTCCTCCTCGTCCTCCACCTCCTTCCCGCCTCCAACTTATGGTGGTGGTGGTGGTGGAAAACGAGCCCATCACTCCACCCGCAACTTCGACCGCCAGGGCATGATCAAGCTACATCACACCACCAACTATGGACTCCACATCGCCCTAATTCCAGGCCCGCAATACTTTGGTAAAATTTCGACTTGCAGCTGTGCCGGAACTGCACATCGAAAACACAAACGATGCGAACAAGCAGGTCGGAAATCTCCGCCTCGGAATCGTGGGGCAGCTGTTTCCGCAAGAAGAAGGGCGGAAACAGCAACGGCAATGCAGGGCGCAGATCGGCATCGAAGGAGCTCGAAAGTAGGGCTAAAATGTCCGCCCCAATTGCGAAATCGCACAGAATAGGGCGGATCCAGAGTCAGGGCACGTCAGGTGTTGCAGAACTGTACTATGAGCTACGAGGTAAGACCCAACTGTCAACTTCACATCCCTCAATAAGGCTAACGACGCCGAGTCCAGATTACCTGAACGGCTCACGCGTGAACGAGCTGTGGCAATTTTTCCCGACAGCAGTGTGGGCCACATGCCGCACATACCAGGCACATCCTAAGACGAGAGGCGTCTTGCCTGAAATCTCTACAAGCCCAGTACACCGCCTGAGCATTCTACTATGGGTAGGGCAAAACACATCCCTCATATGTATATATATATATACTTCCGCAGGCCGAAAGATTTTCCTCTTGAGCCCCACATGTCGGAAGCGACGCGCCGATCCCCTCTGTTCTCCTCCCACCTCCTCTTGCCTCTTCCCTCATCCTTCCCCTCTTCATCCTGGGAAGACCCCCCTCCCCCGTAGAAATAAATGGATCCATCGATTTTTCACACGCAGGAAATTGGATCCGCGCAACACAGAAATAGGATCCACGACGCTCTCCCACGCCCGAAAAAGGATCCAATTGGATCCGTTGATGTTCTCATATCTTAGTCCAAGAGCAAAAAACTTTCGGCCTGGGGATGTATACATACATACATACACACCGTCCAAAGTGCGACAGCACAGCCATCAAGCGGCCGGTATGAAAAATCAAGCGGCGCCCGCATGCGTTCACTAAAGTACCACCCAACCCGAATGCGACGCGGTCTCAGTCGACTACGTCGAAGTCGCTGGGGTCGATCTCCGACTCTTCGCTTGGCAAGATGCGGTCCTCCCCCTTGCTCGTCCCACTCACGGCAATCCGACGGTAGACCTTGACCAGATGGTTGGAACCATTTCTGGCATCCGTGCACAGCGCATCCGCCCACGTCTCCCTGACTTGCGAGCCCCCCTCCGTGGTCTCGCGCTCAAAGATGAGGACCTTGCAGTCGGTGGACTCCTTGACGACGTGCTGCATCATCTGCGCCTCGCTGGGCAAGACCGACCAATACTTAGCCATCGCTCGGACGTCCATCTCCCGTGCATTTGCCGATGTCGTGCGTGCATTTCTTGAACATGGTCAGAGATGCTCCTCGATGATAACCGAAGAGGAAACATGCACGCGTCCGAGCGATGCCAAGAATATCGAATGGGCCAGCCGGATCGAGTCGAGATGTGCGTCGGATCGGGCCGCATCGGTACGGCGCTAGGGTCGCACCGGATCGAGCGCGCCAGGATGCACAGCGGCACTGCGCAGGCATCGGGGCGCATCGGACCGTCGGCAGAATTATCGGGGCCGGATCGGATCGAGCTGGCCGGAGTCGATATCGAACCGCGTCGATCGGATCGATACGGGCCCTGGGGAGGAGGAGGAGGAGGAGGAGGAGGAGGAGGAGGAGGAGGATCAGGGGCACATCTGCCCCTCCCCAGCCTTGATGGGGTCTGTGTTGGCAGCCTCCTGGGCAAGCGGGCCGAACGTTCTCAGGACCTGCATGCCCGTCATGACCTGCTGCCGCTCTGGGTGCCTCTCGGGTCGGACCAGGAGGAGGGATACAGGTGTCGGAAACAATTCAGCAACACTCATGCAGAACATATGGTTTGTACTCTCCCCCTCCTCCCAAATGCAATGTTGGTTTCAGATCTTCCGATTTGGGGCCTCCAGTGGTCTTCAAGGAACGCGTCAACTTTAGCTTGCGGGGGAGGGGGGGATTGTTGCTCAATCTCTTCCCTCAAAACGTAGCAAAGGGGGGGAATAGCGAACCAGCTCACGCAGCTGAGGAGGAGGAGGAGGAGGAAGAAGAAGAGGAGGAGGAGGAGGAGGGAGGGGTTCCCCAGCGCCTCCTGGCGCCAGAGGCGGCCATGTATCGAGGCATCCCTCCCTGCGTTCTGGCCCTGATCCCGACGACGCTGCGCAAAAAAATACTCTCCTGCATCGAAGGGGAGTGCCAAACGGCTGCCACTTGCCAGCTGGTGAGGAAGACAATAATCGAGCTGGGAGGCAGGGGCTGGGAAAACATGGGGCGCGGCTGTGTCATAAACACGTGCAGCACACGCGATAATACTGGCGATCTGATCACTTCTCCCAATCCCCACCCCCCCAACCCGATAATTGTCTTTCTGAGCTGGGGGCGCTCCCCCCCGCCTGGAGAGACACCGCCACTGGCGAGCAAGAGGAGAGCGGCCCAGCGGCGGAGGGGCCGCAACCCGGCGCACGCGGCAGACTTCGCCCTCTGGGCCCCCGCCCCCCCTCCCGGTGCCAGCCCCCCGCTCGTCCCACCCCGAGCCTCTCCCAGGGGAACGCGAGCTCGCCGTCCGTGTCCTTCAGGGCCTGGTGGGCCTCGACGATCCGCTGGAAGCGCTCGGTGGCCCCGGGGCCCGGGCTCTTGTCGGGGTGGTGCTTCACCTCTCGGCGGCGCGCCCCCGGGGGGGAAGCGAGGAGGAGCAGGCCTCCTCCGGCAAAGAGCGGCGGGGCTCGGGAGGCGCTCTCTGCGCCCTCGGGGTGGGCCTCGAGAAGCCCTCCGGAGGCCAGGAGGCCCTCCGAGCCTCCCGGAGGAGGCCCGCCCCTTCGCAGCGCCCCCAGCCCCCCCCCCCCCCGCCGGCGCGCCACGGAACCTGGGGCGGAGCGCAGAGGGGGGGCCGGGGCCCAAGGGCACAGAACCCCGACGTCATGACTTTTTCGTCCTGGCCTCCCTGGAGGTTCCTCCCATCCTCCTCTTCCTCCTCCTCCTCCTCCTCCTCCTCCTCCTGCTCCTCCTCCTCCGCCTCCCCGGGACCGGCTTTTCATCCCGAGTCCTTTTCTGACGGCCCCGAAGCCTGGCAAGGGCCCCCAAATTCCCCAACATGTCGCAGAAAACAGTGCACCGTGATTCGTGTCATGACTCGAGGGGGCCACCACTCGCATTCAATGCAACTAGCTAAATAGCTCTATCTCAACACTTTGACACCCTCTATATCGATATATGTCTATATTCCTGTTCAAATATTTTGATAAGGCCGGGGACGTCAGAGACAGCCTCCCCTAACGAATTTGGCCTTCCCCGGGCCTCTGGGCAACCCTTCAGACGACCCGGGAGAACCTCACGAGAGCCCGAGACGGCCCCAGACGGGTTCCAGGCGTTCCGGCGCGCTCCCGAAACGACCCCAGAAAGCCCCAATACGGTCCACGACGACCCCCAAGAAATCGTCGTACCCCTAAAGATCGCTCCGAAACGTCCCAAGAGGCCTCCAAGAGCACTCCCAAGAAAGTCCCAAGAGACAAAAATCATTGATTGTTTTTATTGGTTTTTGGTGAATGTTGGGGTTCTCCTCTTTTCGGCTTCCCGACGCTCCAAGACGGCGGTCTTCTGGGCGTCGGAAGCCGCCTGGGAAGCTCCCAAATCGGCCCACAACCATCCGTGAGGGCTTCCAGGCAGTCCAAAAGAGCCCCAAAACGGCACAACAGGGGTCCAGGATGGCCCTAAGAGAGCCCCATGGTGGCCCAAGATGGCCCCAAGACACCCTCCGAAGCATTCCAAATCGTGACCCGGTCGTTCAGGGAGACCGCGGTTGGAGGCAGGGTGGCCCGAGGAAACCCCCAGAGGCCCCCAGAACACGCTCAGAAGGCCTCCAGAAGAACCTAAGAAAGCCCGAATAAGTTGTGTGAGGCCTCCAGAGGCTCTCCAAGGAGGAGCCTCCGCAAAAGGAGCTGAGGAGGATGGTGAGAATGCGCAGGGTATGGCGAGAATAAAAAATGAACATGGAGGAAAGATAACGCAGAATATTATTACAACGGCGATGCCGGAAAAGGCAACAAGGAGTCATCGCTTAATTGTCGGCTTGACCTTCCTGCCATTCTGCCTGCATACCAAACTTCAAGGATCAAGGTGCATGGCGCGAAGCGCCACTGCAGTCTTGTATATATATATATATACATATGAAAAGATATACCGTCGTCCTCGTCGTCGTCGTCGTCGCCGTCGTCTTCGTCGTTATCGTCGTCTTCGTCGTCGTCCCCGTCCTCTATGTACCTCTCTCTATTTGTTTCCCTATCTCTCTCTCGGTCTCTCTCTCTCTCTCTCTATATATATATGTGTGTTTCTCTCTCTATCTCTCTCTCTCTCTCTCCCCCTATCTCTCTCTCTCTCTCTCTCTTTCTCTCTATAGCAGTGTTCAATACCATGAATACCTATACACACGGACATCTGATCTGGTCGGACTTCCGGTCTGTGGCTGGGGCCCCAGAAAGCCACAATATAGCTGCCAATGGGCCCCAGGAGGCCCCCCATGACGGCCCATATGGCCCCAACATTGCTGGAGATGTGCCTGAGATGGCCCACAGAGGGGCAAAGAGGCCCCCCAGAGACCCCACGAGAGCTCCGAGAAACATCCCCCAAAGGGCCCCCAGAGACAAACCTCACAAATCCCCGGCTGGGTTTTTGAAAGCTTTTGACTTACTTAGCTTTTTTCGGCCTGCCAACGCTCCTCGACGGCCCACAGGCCCCCAAAACCGCCCCAAGGAGGCACAAGGCCCCCAAGACGGAGGATGACCGAAGATGGCCTCAAGACGGCCTGAAAGGCGCCAGCGACAGCCGATGAGGGCCCAATGATGGTCTCAGACGGCCCCTTGCCCAAGCAGTTTCTGAGTGCCCCCTTTCGCCACGCGCGAATCTTCGCCCCCACGCCAGAGCCACCTAACGAACCAAAATTTCGACGGCGCAGCGTAGCAAGCCGTAGAACAATTTGAGCGCGTGCATATATACATATGTATGTATATACCAAAGACTGCATTGGCGCTTCGCGCCAAGCACCTTGGTCCTTGAAGTTTGGCATGCAGGCGGAAGGGCAAGAGAATCAAACAGACGATTTAGCGATAATTCCTTGTTGCCTTTTCCGGCATCGCCGATATGATCCTGTTATTCGTTATCCTTCATCCATGATTATTTCTCCTCGTTCTCGCCCTGCCCTACGAATTCTTCCACATCCTCCTCAGCTCTTTTTGCGGAGGCCCCTCCTTGGAGAGCCTCTGGAGGCCTCACAAAAGTTGCTCGGGCTTTCTTAGGTTACTCTGGAGGACTTCTAAGCGTGTTCTGGGGGCCTCTGGGGGTTTCCTCGGGCCACCCTGCCTCCATCCGTGGTCTCCCTGAACGACTGGGTCTCGATTTGGAATGCTTCGGAGGGTGTCTTGGGGCTCTCTTAGGGCCGCCATGGGGCTCTCTTAGGGCCATCTTGGAACCCTGTTGTGCCGTTTTGGGGCTCTCTTGGGCTACCTGGAAGCCCTCACGGATGGTTGTGGGGCGATTTTGGAGCTTCCCAGGCGGTCTCGGACGCCCAGAAGACCGAAGAACAGGGCATTCCCCGAATCATGCAGGAACGTAGGAAAATCGATGTTCTTCTGCGTTTGGAAAACCTCTTGGGGGTCTTCTTTGGGTCGTATTCGGGCGTCTGGTGGGTGTCTGGGGCCTCTTGGGGCCCTCGGGGGGGCGTTCGGCCGCCCTCCTGACCGATTTGGGCCCACTGCCTAGGCCCAGTCAAGGCTTCCGGGAGCTCTGAAAAGATTGGGGGGCTTCCTGCAGGGGCGTCCAGGGGGCCCGTTGGGCCACGCATCTGGGGGGTCTCGTTTCGGGGTGGGGGGGTGCTGGGTAACAGAGATAGATGACAATGTATAAATACAAGTATACATATAGATATTTGACTGCATTGGCGCTTCGCGCCATGCATCTTGGTCCTTGAAGCTTGGCACGCAGGCGGAAGTGCAGGAAAGTCAAACAGACGATTTAGCGATAACTCCTTGTTGCCTTTTCCGGCGTTGCCGTTAGAATAGAAATAATAATGATGAACAATAATAATACTTACCCGTTACGAAAGTTATTCATCTTGAGCACTGACGACTAGGGCGTCTCCGAGTGGCCCCCCCTTCCCCCCGTAGATTCCTAGCACGGCAGTCTTCGGCCTGGCTTGGCGGGGGAGATTTCCGGGGTTCCCCCTGGTAACACTAATAATATATAACAAATTAAAGATAAAATCTATCCCCCGTAAATTCACAAGGGAGAAGTCACTCCCGGTCATTTCCAGGCAACTCTGAATCTCTCCCCGTATGAAACCACATGGAATAATCACTCCCATACCACTTCTCACCACAGCGCCCACACATGTCAATTTTAGCCAAGATGAATTAACTTTCTTAACGGGGATGAGGACCCACGATTTTTTCACACGTCAATGTCAGCCAATGTCATGAGGAACCCAAATTCGAAATCCGAACGGGGCCCAGCATCGCGTCGCAGACCGTGGCAGGCAACGTTGCCAAGGGTCTGCGGGGCACGTGCAAGCGCGTTGTGGCGGCCAGAGGCGCTGCTGTCAAGGGGTAACGCTGGTCTCACCCTTGTAGAAGTACAGTGCGAGATACCGCTGAGGACCCACGATTTTTTCACACGTCAATGTCAGCCAATGTCATGAGGAACCCAAATTCGAAATCCGAACGGGGCCCAGCATCGCGTCGCAGACCGTGGCAGGCAACGTCGCCAAGGGTCTGCGGGGCACGTGCAAGCGCGCTGTGGCGGCCAGAGGCGCTGCTGTCAAGGGGTAACGCTGGTCTCACCCTTGTAGAAGTACAATGTGAGATACCGCTGAGGACCCACGATTTTTTCACACGTCAATGTCAGCCAATGTCATGAGGCACCCAAATTCGAAATCCGAACGGGGCCCAGCATCGCGTCGCAGACCGTGGCAGGCAACGTTGCCAAGGGTCTGCGGGGCACGTGCAAGCGCGTTGTGGCGGCCAGATGCGCTGCTGTCAAGGGGTAGCGCTGGTCTCACCCTTGTAGAAGTACAGTGTGAGATGCCGCTGAGGACCCACGATTTTTTCACACGTCAATGTCAGCCAATGTCATGAGGAACCCAAATTCGAAATCCGAACGGGGCCCAGCATCGCGTCGCAGACCGTGGCAGGCAACGTTGCCAAGGGTCTGCGGGGCACGTGCAAGCGCGTTGTGGCGGCCAGAGGCGCTGCTGTCAAGGGGCAACGCTGGTCTCACCCTTGTAGAAGTACAATGTGAGATACCGCTTACCCGTTGCGAAAGTTATTCATCTTGAGCACTGACGACTAGGGCGTCTCCGAGTGGCCCCTCCTTCCCCCCGTAGATTCCTAGCACGGCAGTCTTCGGCCTGGCTTGGCGGGGGAGATTTCCAGGGTTCCCCCTGGTAACGTTAATAGTATATAACAAATTCAGGATAAAATCTCCCCCCCGTAAATTCACAGGGGAGAAGTCACTCCCGGTCCCTTCCAGGCAACTCTGAATCTCTCCCCGCACGAAACCACAAGGAAGAATCACCCCCGCACCGCGTCTCACGACAGCGCCCACACATGTCAATTTTAGCCAAGATGAGTTAACTTTCTTAACGGGGATGAGGACCTACGATTCTTTCAAACGTCAAAGTCAGCCAATGTCATGAGGAACCCAAATTCGAAATCCGAACGGGGCCCAGCATCGCGTCGCAGACCGTGGCAGGCAAAGTTGCCAAGGGTCTGTGGGGCACGTGCAAGCGCGTTGTGGCGGCCAGAGGCCCTGCTGTCAAGGGGCAACGCTGGTCTCACCCTTGTAGAAGTACAATGTGAGATACCGCTGAGGACCCACGATTTTTTCACACGTCAATGTCAGCCAATGTCATGAGGAACCCAAATTCGAAATCCGAACGGGGCCCAGCATCGCGTCGCAGACCGTGGCAGGCAACGTTGCCAAGGGTCTGCGGGGCACGTGCAAGCGCGTTGTGGCGGCCAGAGGCGCTGCTGTCAAGGGGCAACGCTGG